ACAGCAAATGGCAGGTAAGGGATAATATCCTCAGTACATTAAGAGCTTTTACAAATTTGAAAAAAACACAACCCTAGTAGAAAATTGAGGGAAGTGTAAGAACAATTTACAGAAGAAATATCAATGGGCCATAGATTTATGGAAAAAATTAACTTTATTGGAAGTGAAAGAAATTCAGTATAGACAATGACAAGATACTACTGTTGCCTATAAATTAGCAAATTAATAATGTTGAATTTTTGGTGAGGAGTAGGGAGAAAAGCACATAATTTCTATTATATAGCAAATGTGTATACACACATATAAATACTTTATATTTGTTTACATATACACATATAAAATATAATTTAATACATGTCCAATATCCTCTGAACCAGTATATCAAAATTTAAAATTCCAGTAATTACAATGTGCTGATCACGATAGCCAACAAAAGGGAAACTATCCAATAAATTATAGCAGAGAAATGAATACTACACAGCTACTAAAATTTGGCCTTCAAGGCCTTTGTAAAAATATTACATGAGAAATGTTCATGGTATAGCAAGTGAAAAATATAACATAGTAATTTTAAGCGACTCAGTTTTAATAAGACATAGCCAATAATTGTAAGTTTGGGATTATTACAATGATTTAATTATAGTTTGCCTAGGACACAATTTTGAGTAAATTAGCCGAGATAATCATTATGTATAACTGAATGCTTACCAGTCATTTCTTTAATGCTTTATTTTTAATTTCTGGATTTATTGGCATTACATCTGCTAGTAAATATTAATGCAAATTTAAAGTTGATTATAACAAGGTTCATAAACACTAATCAACTAATGAAATAAATAGTATGATTTAAGAAGATGTAAATTAAGAACATTTAATTAGTTGTTCACTAGACCTATCGAAAACAGTTCTTGACACATTTCAATCATCTGTCTCATTGAGGCCTCAAGAATACCTTACATTAATAACAGGAAGACTAGATGCTTGTTTTTGGCAACTTTAAGGAGATAATAAAGTTCAGCACTAGGCTGCTAGTGAAATGAATTATCAAAATCTTCTGAAAAGAATACTTTATAAAAGATTGGCTGTTTTGACTATCATCCTCCATACTAATGAGGATCCGGATAACTTGGTAAATTCTACTAAGCATGGGTATCACAGTAAAAGAGGTAAATAAATCTCACAAACACAAATTGGAATCCACAAGATATTGATTTAAGAGAGAATATTTGACAATGACAATCAATCAAGAAGGTAACATTTTTGTGGGACCCGAACTAAAATAAGAAAAGCACAGAATTCATTGCCCTCTGCCATTAGCTATGATAATGATTTTTAGTCAAAGGACAAAAACATTCAAAATAACTCATTTGGGTCATCGCTTATTACAGAAGAGAAAACCAATTTGATAATTTGCAAATCAGAGCTTATAAAAATAAACCTCCAAAAATTCGCCGCCTAAATCTGACTTTTTCCTTTAAAGTATTAAATAGTAAATTTGCCAAATGTGTTGTGTATCAGAGAGTTATTTCCTTGCATTATACAACAAACTAATGAAAAGTTTTATGCTAAAGAA